GTATACAATGCAACACTTAAGTGGTTGCATTAAACCTAGAATCTACATACAAGATTAAACGAATCTTCTTGTTAAAGATCTATGGAAAAAGCCCTCACGAAATGATGGTTTGTACAATGTTTGAAAAGACAACTTAGAAATATTTTCCTCGCTACTGTTTCTTTCCTTACTCACCGCCTGCTGCTGAGACACAAGCACATTCAAGTAAACGAAACTCACAATATCACAATCTGAAGATTCAATTCATCAATTTGAGATTTGCTCCAGTCTTTGTCAATTTTTAGCTGAGCACTTGTATCATTCAGTAATTTACATTGCTTAAAGTTTATTATATGGTATTTTCTCAACCAAGTTTCTAGTCGATTATTCTTGGGACTTCACTAGTTGACTTTGCTTAAAGCTATCTGTGAACTTTCTCGAATCAAATCAACATCACTTTCACATTGGACCTATTCTAAATTGACTTCTATTGAAATAACTACATAAATAAGTAAGTCTGTGAATGATATTTCTAACAAATAGCGACATGGATTTACACCTTCAAAATTACTATCATCTTGCAATGACACACTAAACATGAAGATCTACACAAAGTAAAATTCACATACATCTCAATATAATAATTGTTGGAACAAAGGTGGACAAAAGCTTCATGTTGAACAAGTTACTAGATGATCGCCTAACACATCTGTTGTTCCACGGCTTAAATTGTGCTCTAGCCATCACAATCCAGGATTTCAAAGTGTAAATCCAACTCCAATTAAAACTAATGTGCCACACGAATCTGCATGTCTAGCTTCTTTGTACTTATTATTAGCAGATGCCTAATAACATAAAGGTTTATGTCTTTCTAATGAGCAACTAGTTGAATAGTATCCAAGTATAATTGCTTATTCAACATTTGAATGAGCCTCATGCTATCATCCATGTGTGGCTTTCACCCACACATGTACATGAGTATTTTCATTTAACTTTATAAGACTTTATCTTTTGCGTGAATACTATCTTAAATGCACCTACGAAATATAATGGTTTTGGTAATCACTTTTAATTAATTCACCTGGATCCATCATCTTTGCTCAAGTTATATTTGAAACTATTGATTTCTCTCACACTTTTTTTGTAATGAGCTTATAACAAGAAGGGTTTGATAGCAAACGTGACTACAATGTATTTTGCTTTCTTCTAAAGTACTAACACCAATTTCTCAACTCTTGATTCAACTCATTATCATTAAGGATAATTCGACCCTTGAATAGTTGTTTACATGAATTTTCTAACATTTGTAACTGATCAATGGCTTTCATCTTTTGAAATTTTTGTCTATAACTTAAATCATTGCTTCTTTCTCTAATGGGTCATCACATTCGATAGTTAAGTGCACCATGATCAAATAGATATATCTGATCTTCTTTACACCATTACACTAAAATTCATCATACCCTAGACATTCTTGAGGAAAATTTTTCTCTACTTGATTAGCAAATTGTTTCTAATAAAGTCTACTTACACACATGCACGTTTAGGTAGTTGTAACAATGTGGTGGAAAAATTTAGTTGAGTATGACTATGATCTTTTGATAAAAAAATCTTAAATTTATTGATCCTTTTCAGTTCCTCAAATAGATTTTTGGAATATTCTTATATATATATATATATATATCATGTTCTAATATACATTCTAAGATTTTTATAATCAATCTAGAAGCATAAAACATATATTTTATCTATCACCACATATCTATTTGTAGAAATTGAATTTATTTAATTCTATATTCAATTGAATTTAATATGTTGACTAAAAAACGTTGACACAAACCATAATCACATTCATTTGTGTCTAATCGTGGAAATTCATGCATATTATTTTTTTAAATTAAATTATATCGCAAATTGAACATCCTTCATGTCAAAACTCATAATGATGTATTTGGAAAGATTATTTTCAACATAAATAATTCGTACAACATGCTTTTTTTAAAGTGATATCTAGATTCTGAACATAAGTGTATCAAAGTTGACATATGATACTTTCTACCTTTGTATAATTTTGATATGTGAGAATCTTTACATGATATTTTGAATTTTAAAGAATTCATGCAATATTTGGAAAATTTTTTTTGTTTAAATGTGAAAAGATGAAACTAAAAGAAAAAAATTCTTGAGATAAAATTTAAATTTTTTGTGCATATTCTTCTTTCAAAATAAGAAAAGATTGCCAAAATTATTAAATCCAATCTAAATTTCACAGATTTTTATAATTTTTACTTAAAAGTGTGTTTCTCACGTCTTGCGTGTAATATTTTTCAATTTAAAATTAAAATATTGATATATCATTTTCTATAAATTTTCATACTAACACGTTACATTATCATGTTAGATCTTTACAATTTCAATAATAGAGAATTATTATAGTTATTTACAAAAAAGGTCAAAATTTTAATATTTTTCTAAATAAATTTGTCACAAACTTGTTTTAATCCATGCCCATAGTCTTAAAAGGATTTGTGGGAAAATTTCTTTTATTATTTTCTAACATATTTAGTTATAATTGTTATATTTATCATCTTTGTTGCATGATCTATTTCAACTAATTAATGTTAAACATTAGCCAAAAAAAGTGTGCAATATAAATTTCAATTTTTTAGAATAGATTTTACAAAAATTTTCATCGCGGATACTTGATCAAACAGTAATGTGCGCTAGATGAAAAAATATATATATCATGTCCAATCAATAACTACTATTTTGTAATTAAAATCTAAAAATATTGTTGTGCATATAATCTTCAGTTAATTCTTGATGCATGGTTCAGATTATTCAAAATTATACATGTATATATAAGCATTAATAAATATTATTTTTTCTGGATTTTGAACAATTTTGTTTAAACTTATCAAAAATCATTTTCTACATATATATAATTTATCATTCTCTTAGATTGATCACTCTGTATGCTTTATAGTTTTAACATATCAGATGATATATTTTAATATTTTTCTCTCCAAAAATAAATTTGAAATTTTTCATATTCAGTAAAAATATATCACTGTATAAATTATTTTTTAAAATTTGATGTATTATGTTTTTTAAATCTCAATTTTATAAATAATAAAAAAAGTTGATCAAAATTCTATTTTATCATATAATGGGTTGTATTTTTAATAATTATATGTTTACATTCATAAAAATTATTATATAATAATAAGGATTTATGAAGAAAACTATATAGAATAAATAATTTCTATAATCATTTCCATAATTAACTATTACTTCTACTTTTGTAATAAAACATGCTTTTTAACATTCAAAGATTTTTTCTAACTTGACAAGAGTATTTCAGTGCAAAAATAAACTCATGTATTATCTGCTCAAAACATTATTTATGTTCATTTCTCTATTCATTGTCAGTGTTTTGCTAAGAAAATCATTAAAAGTCAAAGTTATGATGAGAAATATCTTAATGCATTGCTTAGAATAGCTGATTGGATTCAAAAAGACTTGCAACTTTGAACACTCACGTGGAGATTTCATAAGTTTGATGATCTTAAAATTTAAGATCAATATTTCATCCATCGGGAAGAAATAATATTCAAAGGAATAAACACACATAATAATATTAAGTTTCGAATGTCGGGATTTCGAGTCCCGAGCAATATTCGAAACCTTCAAGTGTATATTTAGAGGGAGTACCAGGATTAGATTACTTCCAACACCAATATCTGCACCTTTGTAAATCAAAAGATATCGTTAAGAGTGTGCCATGTTTAAAATTTTTGACACTAGCTGAAGTGAACATACTAAAGTTTGCAATCTTGTAAAATCCTAGACAAAATCCATTGCTTGATTTAATTTAAGATATCTTCATTTTTACTGGAGCATACTTCAGTCATAATGAAGTATAAGAACATAAGATACCACATAAGATACCATTTTACGGGAAAGCTACTAAAGCATTGAGCGCATTGAGTCTGGCGAGTTGTGGATTTCGGTCTAAGTTATTCCCTGATTAAATATCTTTACTCCTGTTTCTGGGCTTTCTCAATGAAATAGATTTATGCATGTAACATGCAGGAGAGTCAAGGGCTATAGTGGCGGGACTTGTAAGATTATGCCAAAGTCATTTCATCCCAATCTGCAGAGCATGTATATTGTTTTTCAAGAGATTTAATTTCACCAGTGGCTTTGTTGAAATTACAAATTGTTGCATGCCTCGTTAAATGGTGCGGTGGAGATATTGCACAAAAGACATATCATAACATTGCATCCGACAAGAGATGTGGATACGTCAATATAAATGTGAGTGTATTAACCAATGAGGCTGTACCCTGAGTAGCTCGACTATCTTAATTTATAGCTTTACTTTACCATTTGTATCAAAACTCACTAACAAATTTTTTTTTACACAGAAGACAGTCATTTAAAATTCAGCTATTTGTTTCAAGTTTTGCTACGTTCCAGCTGTGCCACGACGGCAGCTTTCCTTCCCTCAAGTACACATAATTCGATCATGGAATACACACCGCCAAAATAATCGAAGCAGAAAGAGGAGATACATCAAGTGAACGAGGCGGAATGAAATGGCACTTGCAAGAAAAGTATGAAGAAAGAGAAAACGAACCTTTGTGTGAAAAATAAACATAATTTCATCCTTGTAAGACCGGCTCCTCGCCCTACGCTCGACCCGAGTTTACTCGAATATTTAATTCCGCCAAGGAACCATTACATGAGAGAGGAAACTAAAAGCGAACACGAGCAATCGAAAATCGAAAGACTCGCATAATGAAACTCGGCAACACTTTCGGAAAGAGCTCCGAAAGTTGCTGTTAGAGGAAGGCGCCGGGTCGAATGGGCGAGAGACAGCTCACCCGACCTGCGAACCGCGGGGGGCGGGGCTTTCGACCGGCGATCGTATTTTATTTACGGTACAGATGGAGTCCGTCGCTCGCTGGTTGCCAACAAGAAGGAAGGAAGGAAGGAAGGGGAGGGCAGGGAGGGGGGCAGGGTCCGAGCAGCGACATCGGAGGACCGACAGACCCAGTGCGCCATTGGGGTGACTGACTGACAGACTGACAGACTGACTGGCAGGCGACGCTCTTCTCCTTCCTTGCTTCGTTGCGCGTTCCTTCGCTTGCTTCGTTGCTTTGGTTTGCTTGCTTGCTTGCTTCGTGGGCTCGTTCGTCGTTCGTCGTTCATGGTCGTCTGTTGACAGAGACGCGCATCTTGGTCTGGGCTCCGGTGGTGCCGCCCTCCCAAGCCTCGGACACAACTCACAGCGCGAGCAACTCACGCATCGACAAGAGTCGAGAGTCGAGCGTCGACGGGAGGGAGGAGGAGGAGTGGGGTTTGGACGCTGACGGGCGAGAAGGACGACATTCGGTGTTGTGGATGCTTCGGGTTGGGCGCCGTGGCAGGGAGGGGAGCAGAGCAGAGGAGGACGAGGACGAGGGCTCGGGGAGGAGCGAAAAGATCATCGAGGCCGTGCCTTGTGTTGTTTCTGTTGGTGGTGCTAGCGCTGATGCTGGTGTAGAAGTTCTTCTTCATCATCATCATCTTCTTCTTCGTCTTCATTTCCTCGATCGGTAGGCCTGGTCGGTGTGCGCGAGGGAGGGAAGATCTCTCGGTGCCGGGGGCAGGACGAAAGACAAGGCGAGGGTGGGAGGCAGGCTTTCAGGCAGGCAGGCAGGCAGGACAGCAGGACTGAGGGATCTCGCGACGGAGGGCTGGTTGTGGGGAGTCGTTGTCATTGTGGTCGTCGTAGAGTTGATTGGTTCCAGGCGGGGCAGGATTGTAGGTTCACGGGCGGCAGGGGACGCGTCATTGTCATTAGGGGCGGGGAAGGAGGATTCTTGGCAGGTAGGACTCTGGCTGGGGCGACGATGCCGGTGGCTCTGGGATCAGCGGCTTCGTCTTCCTATCGTGATAGAACTTTGGAACTTCATTCTATAGCGGAAAGGTTACGGAAATCTCAGGCGTTTTCTGGATCTGCCACTAATTCCCAATCATCAGCTACCAATGGATCTGTCGACGGCTCCGCCAGGCTGCAGGGTCCCCAATCCTCTGGATCCGTGCAATCGGAGTTCAATAAACGAGCCTCCAGAATCGGCCTCAGTATTCATCAAACTTCACAGAAACTTACAAAGTTGACCAAGTGTAAGTTCTTATCCGCCCGCAGTCTAGTCTCCCCATGGTTAGTGACAGCCAAAACATGGGTACTAGATGTTTGCCTTCTGTTGATGAGTTGCATTGTTCTACCCGGGGTGGGAAGAATGTGGCAGCTGCAATTTGTTGGACCCGTTGGGACAACACGATTTCTTATTAAGCTGGGGACCTGAAGCTACATTTTAACCATAGCCCGGTTCTAACCCTCTGTCTAGATTGATTGTTTTTGCAAGTGTGCCGTACTGAATTCTCTTGTTTTGCATCATATGCGTTATCAGACGTCTCATCTGCCCCCACGGCCTAGCTCACAATAGGGCCCAGCGCGTACAGCTTGAGGAAGCAGCGTTGAATGTTCCATTTTGTTTTTCCTACGTTTGATCATTGGCCATGTGTATCCTGCAGTGGCGAAACGGACGTCAATGTTCGACGATCCCGCGACAGAAATTCAAGAACTTACTGCTGTGATAAGAACGGACATCAAAGCTCTGAATGATGCTATTATCGACTTACAGGTTTTATGTAATTCAAGAAACGATGGCGCCAACAGAAGTAGGCACAGTAGTGAACATTCCACAACTGTTGTGGACAATTTGAAAAGTCGACTCATGAATACGACCAAGGAGTTTAAGGATGTACTCGAATTGCGAACCACGGTTAGCACATTACCCTTCTCAGTGGCCTCGATACTTTTCCAGAACGTGATCTAATGGTCTATATGCTCTGCGCTTTGCTTTGCAACGGCTGTTTTTGGGCAGTACCGTTTTGTAAATCTTTTGTTGTCTTTCTCGTATCATATTTTCTACTGGAGGCTGGTTCGTGAACACAGTGATTTCACAACCTTATCAGTTTTTAATGAAGTGTTGAGATGCAAAGAAACTGACCTGCATGCTTACTTTTGCAGAATTTGAAGGTTCATGAAAACAGGAGACAGCTTTTCACTGCCACTCCAACTAAAGAGCAAAGCAATCCTTTTAGTCGACAGCGTCCACTGGTAACAGTTAATGGAACCAGCACAACTAGTAATGCAGGTGCGGGGCCAGGTCCGGGTACTAGTGCAAGTGCAAGTGGCAGTCCTGCGCCTCATCCTTGGGCTAATGGAGGGGCTTCTTCACAAACTCCATTATTTTCTTCCAGGTACAGTTTTGTGACCCATGTAATTGGGAACCATCGATTGAACGTAGGATCAGTTCTATGATTAGAAATACGCGCTTTCGGTTCAGTGCGTCGTGGCTCAAGCCGAATCGGTTTCCATGAATATCTTGCTTTTACTTCGGTTTCTCTATTTTACCCTTCATTTCGTGTCTCGACTTCTTCTTTTTTTATTTTCCATTGTCATAGGCATCAGCTGTATCCGATGTCCCGGATTGAAAGTTTTCAATGTGCATGATGCTCAACAGTTTGAGCTGAGTCTCGTGGACTCATTGATCTGGTTTTGTATCACGATTTTGTTTGTTTGTCTACGTTGTGCTCTCCCCTTGTCTGGACGCTTAGTTAATCAAGAGTATACTTATCATATTCATCGATTAACCGCCTTTGTCAAGTGTGACCTAGTTTTATTTTTCTTATAGTCGAGCGAGCTTTGATCTGTGCCGTCAAGTCTGCCTAAAGTTCAACAGTTCTCTAAGACTGAGAATCTTGGTCATCGTCATGGTGCACAAATACTTGCCGTACCATGAGTCATGGTACTGAGCTCGTTAGTGATATTTTGTTAGCTGATTGGTATGATTGTTGAAACTATGCACCATATCTAATCTGGAGTGAGTATGTGAGTCTATCTCGTCTCTCGTCCAAAGAAGTCGTATTTCCGCTCGTTCAGGTCTTTTGAATTGCTTGGTGGTATTCATTGTATTGTACAAAGTTTACTAGCCTTTACCTTATCGAGGATCCAGGTGTTTGGGTATGAGCTTTGTTTCGCGGTTAGGGAAGGTAACTTGGTTATAGGAGAGCCTGGCTGGTACCACCTTGTTCCCAATGACTCCAGAGTTCATAAGGCATGTGGTAGGAAGAAGAGTATCAACAACACAGAAAGGACGAGAGCTGCAAATGACATCATTTGTAGCTTTTAAGCAAACACCAGGCTGCTTTAATTGGATCAAGAGGTATTTATTGTTCCTTGACTCCGGCTCGAGGTTGGTCAAGGGTTACTCCGCCTGATGAAACACAGCTTACTGGGAACTGCTGATGTTTTGCACAGTGATTCCGTTTCTGCATCTGTTTACTATACGGGAGAATTCTGGAAGTAGATGTCGTCATGGATTCGTATCGTAAAAATGATACATGATATACCACTACACGATTGAATAATTAGGACAGGCTCAGTACGAGTGAGGTGCCTAGTGGCTGTGCCAATGTGCTCTTTCGGGCATTATGTGTGCACTAAATTGAGTTATCATTGGGTCCACGTAGTATCACTTGCAGTGCGCTGGATTCATTGTTCATTGATGATGATTTGCTACTGTTTCAGAGGGAGGGGATTTGTGGAAGAATGCCTGAAGAAATTGAGTGGGGCCAGGACCATCATCTGATGGTTTTGGGAGTTTGGCAAAGCTTTAAAACTTTATTGGCTGGTGATTTGGCATGTGGCAGAGACCCATCAGTTGGCATGTCCAGTCGGACTCAGTTGAGGTCCGTCCTTGTATTTCTGGTCTGTCATTTACCCGTTCTAGAAGAGAGGACGCGATGGTCGCATGATATTCAGTCGTCCGCTTGTATAGAATTTACAGGGGCCTAGAGATGGATTCATCGCGGATCTTGAAGTTAGTCGGACAACTGTGGTATTCTTTGGTGGCATGCTTTTTAGTGCTCATACCTGCTTAGAGACTATCTGACTTTAATATTTGGTGAACGTCAGCCTAGCTGATCTGGGGAAGCGGATGTTAACGCACATGGTACTTGGTTCATACATGTGTTGCTATTCTCTGTAGACAGCATGGTCTGATTTAGAATGTATGAGCACCCAATCAGTGCAAGAATGTTAATTGCAGCATAAGGCCGTATAATTTGGATCTCATGCATGTTCTGCAGAGAAAGGAGCGTTTAGGTTAATGCAACTTGTTTCTGTCATCTGTGTTGGTTGTGGAACGGGAAGTTTTCGTAGAAGAAATTCCTTAGTATTTGAAAGGGAACTGATTTGTTTTCTCTTTTCATTCTATTCTTATAATTCCAGAAGGCGGGGCAATCCTGAAGGAACCTCCTTGCAAGGTCAAACGCTTCCGCCGTCGCAGCAGCAACAACAGCTCCAGCAGCAAATAGTGGCTCCTGCCCAGGACAGCTATATGCAAAGTAGAGAAGAGGCTCTTCGGAATGTTGAGGCGACCATTATTGAGCTTAGCACCATCTTTACGCACTTGGCCAACATGGTTGCTGAGCAAGGTACAATTGCCGTAAGGTAAGATTATCTTGATATTTTCCCGGCCCTGAGTATGCCTTATTTGATCACCGTTTTGGTTATGACTTCATGAGCAGAGGTAGGGCAGTTCCGACGCCTCTTGAGCAGAGTCTGAAATTGCCTCAAAATGGTTCACGATCTTTTTATGGATCAATGTAATAAGTATTTACTACGTAGGTTTTTGCATCGGGCAATTTATGGTCTTCAGGCAATGTCAGTCAAGCAAGAATGGATACCGTTCTAAAATATTTTCGATGGATCTGAAACCCAATTATACTGCACTTATATCGCAACCCTAGTCTTCTTTTCACCAGGAAGGTCTTCCCAGCCCATGACGTCTCGGAATCATCTAACAGCATTGAGATGAGAAACCATCCATCAAATACCTGAACACACATGACCTTCTGTCGGTTTCTGATATCCCTCATTTCAAGCCGGTAGAGAAGTAGCCGGTTCTACTTCTGTACATAGTATAATGCGTACAGACAGACTCCTGTTCAAGGTCTGGAGTCAAGTGTTATTAGGAACATAATAGGATACAACTTGTCAACTTAGCTAGCGGAATGGTTGAAGTAACTTAATTCGTCATTGGAATTTTGAACAGGATTGATTCGAACTTGGACGAGGCATCGGCCAATGTCGAAGGAGCACAGGGAGCCCTCTTGAAATACCTGAATCAAATTTCGTCGAACCGATGGCTGATCATGAAGATATTCATGGTGCTGGTTATCTTCTTGTTAATTTTCGTTGTTTTCGTAGCATGAATAAATTGCACTGGATTCCTGATATGGACGGGTTATCTGATGTATAATGGAGAGTTTTAGTTGCCACTTCTCTGGGTACTTTGAACCACCCGGCATGGACTATGTCCACATTCATTAATGGCAGCGTCAGCTTTTGAGCTTGGAAACCGCCAGCTAAGCTAGTTCACCTGTAATTGTAAGAGTCTGCAAATGCCTTGATATTGGCCTACTGATAAGCAAATTGGCCTCAATAATGATATGCTCGAAAGACATGAGCTTCTGGTTGTATTGGTTCGGTTATGGAAAACAAGTACTAAGTACGTGTATACTCTACGGTGGTTGCTGTAAGTGTCGTCATCCAGGAGAAAGAAAGCAAGAATTTACCATTGTGGTGAAGGTGACCTTTGAGACGGCAGCTTGATTGATTACTGGGAAGTTCCAAATACACTCATCTCTTTATTGTGACGTGGATTTGATCCATGGGACACATCTTTGTAGAAGCTGGATTGGTCGATTGAGACCCAAAGTTCGAGACATGGATGTTCTCGATGATGACTTAGTTTACTGATAACTATTGCACTGAAGGGATGGAAGCTTTGGCAATTGTTACAGTGGGACAGATAGTTGGGTTTTCCTGCTTTGAATCCGTAGTCTGCTCCCACTCCCTTGTGTTCTTACTATTCGTTTGAAATTTTGTGTATATTGTATATTGTCAAGAATTGCAAAGACATCAACAGAAAGGCGGCGACCGTCGAGAAATCTGTGAAGATTAGAGCGGTGGTCACATTCTTTCCAAATCTGTGCTTCAATCCTTATTGCATGCTACTCGGGTTGCATGTCACATTCTACTTTGTTCTCGGTTTTGGAGTATGTCACCAATAGTACAAGTCTTGTGGAACAAGATTTGCGCAGTCAAGTAAATGATCGCGAAGTGTATGGTTATTTTACTGAATGTAAATTTTGATTGCGAAGTGTGAGTCCTCATGTAACGAAAATAAGGGGAACTTAAGGCCGAAGGAATTACGGGTTTAAGCCAAGTTGCGCTTTGAATAACAAGTTACAGATTTTCCTCATGCGAGACATTAAGTCAATTTTTCTATCAAGTAACAACTTTCGTTGTTTGGTTGTCAAATGAACGAAAAGATGTTGTGGCTGGTTGAAATGCGCCATGTGGCTATGTTTAAAGAAATCATGAAAATGAGATGACGAGCAAGTCAACAATTTTACTCCTACATACTCGAATACATCAAATTTTGATGTTAAATATTAATTGGCATCAAAATTTGGCTAATTTTCAAGACAAAGACAAATCATTTTTTAAATGCTTGCAGGAACGAAGTAAATTCAAATTCAAAATATGATTTTACAACAGACATGCTAGCCAGAAAAGACGAATCTTCAAAAAGAATGTGCCATATTCGGAGAAGGGGCGGGCTTCGTTGCGAAACCAAAAACCGAGCCACGAAGGAGAGAGGACGACGTCCGGCTCCGTCGGAACGCGGGAGGTAGTCCGTCGGTCGGTCAGTCAGTCGGATGTCGTACTGCGACGACCGCGAGATCACTCACTCGGTCGGTCGATGCGGAGCCGACCGCGTGAGCGAGCGAGCGAGTGAGTCGACCTTGTCCGACTGGAAAGACAGACGATGGGCAAGAGCACGAACACGAATGCGAACGCGAACGAAGGAAGTTGTGTTTGTTTGTGGTTCACGCAGCCGAGCGGCGACGCGAGTGGTCGACGCCTTATCCCCTTCTCGTCTGGCTGCCTGGCGCTCGGCGCGACGCAGCCTCACAAGCCCAAATGTCCATCGGCTCCGGACCCTCGCGCTCGCGACGGGGGACGACGGCGGGCGGGCGAGCGAGCGAGAGAAGCCCGCGGGATAACGGCGAGGGAGGGCTCTTCGGCCCAGTTTCTTCAGATTCCGGCATGAGCTGCTTGGAGTGCGCGGGCTTGGTGCCGTTGCGGAGGCCGCGGGCCCTCGTGCGCAGCAGCAGCAGCAGCTGTGGCCAATTCCGAGCCCCGGGACGGAGGCGAGCGAGCGTTAGCTGCAGAGCCAGCGTCCTCGATGCGGCGCTGCAAGCCACCGGCGGCAGCGCCCATGGAGTCCTGCTGCTGGCGGACATGGATCCGTCTGCGTTCCAGACCCTCCTTCTGACGGCCGGCGTCCTCACTGCCACCTCCGTCTCCTTGTACTTCGGGCTCAAGGTGCCAATTCCCGGCACAATCCCGTCCGATTTTTGCCAGCTGAAATCGCTGCGAATGTCGCGAATTCTGAGAATTCTGAGAATTTCGACTGTCTGAGAGTTGGGGAAATTGGGGAATTTGAGAGAATTTGAGAGAATTTGTGAAATAGGGGCAGTAGCGATTCGGAGATCGAACGCTTTGTGGTTTGCGAGCGAAGGCCGAGGCTGCGAAAGGATCATTCGAGGCTTGAATGTGAATGTGAGTGCGAATTGTGAGAAATGCGAGTGCTGTTGTGGGCAGCTTGAGCTGACTGACTGTGTCGGATGATGTGGCCCCAGGGCGACCCTGTGCTGTGCGCGAAGTGTGCAGGCAATGGTGAGGAACGCTCTGACCTCCCCTCCCTCCCCTCCCCTCCCCTCGAGGCTCTCGCTGCTCGGGCCATGTCCACGTCAGTCAGCTGCTCACCTCGTGGCTTTTTGTCGTTGTTTTCCCACAGGGGGCACCAAATGCGTGTTCTGTATGGACGGTCGCATGAAGAATGAGAAAGGGCTCGTGGATTGCCGCGTCTGCAAAGGAGCAGGTTCAACCCTCACCCTTCCACTTGCATCACACACCAATCATCCACCGTCCCCTGTTTGCACTGGAGCTCCGTGCATTTCACTGGCTCGCTGGTTGGTGATACACTACAGTCATGGGATTTACTGAACGAACGATTTTCAAGTGTAGGACCTCTGGAGGCACGGTCCTTCGTATTATGCTTTTTGTGATTGACTTCTCCCGCTGATCTCTCGTGCAGGATTGATCATGTGTAAGAACTGCAAAGGTTCGGGTTACTCCAGGCGACTGTAAGCGTAAGGCGGAAAGGTGACTTGATTGCATCGACAGGTACAATATTTTCTACGTGGAAAGTTTGTTTCTCCCCAATTGTATTGAAGTTTTCTCTCTCGATGCCATCCATGCTGGATGGTGACGATGCCGACAACTCAGGAGCATTTTGCAGATTCCGTGGAAACCAACGCTTTTGTGTCTGGACCCAGCAGATGCCCGAAGGAGCAGGCAGTCAGCAGGCGGCTTGTGATAATCATTTATGCCTTCATAGACTGTAAGTGTCGTCTGCACCACGCGTGCCTGGCTGAGTCTTGAGAGACGAAGTTGTTCGCCGAGAAGGGAAGATAGCTCTGCTGTTAAAACGTCACATCATCACGTTTGAGAAAAATCCAGACGGCCTGTCGAATTGTCTATCTGTGTTCTGAAGACGGACCTCCCCTCCCCCTTGCTTCCATAGCTTAAGATTCACCACGATGAGTTAGATGAGATGCTCGAGAAGGTTCAAATGAATGTGCGCATGTCGGATTTGCCTTTGGAGCGATGAAGTTACCATCTTCCTCGTCTGTCTTCTCATGGTCGGACAGTTCTAGGCTCGTTGACGAGCTGTGACCTGAAACACCGTCAATCTGCTCACTCCTCACCAAAAAGTAGATTTAGGAAAAGGAGGTCAGTATCTTGAGGAAGGACTCCAAAATTGAATTGCTTCCCTCGGTCAACGTCTAACTCGGACCTCTTTTTTTCGTCCTTTGCTGCTTCATTCAGGGCTTCAATCTGTTACGGTTACAGTTCAGCTTCATGCTACTGCTGCTGTTACACCGATGCAAACTCCTTCCGTGTAAAGATAATATATCCGGTTCCGTTTGCCAGTATGGCCCAGAACCCCAGGAAAGCATGAAGTATTTGGCACTCTGGCCCTGATTGTTTTTGTACTTCAATTTCAAAGAGAGAGAGCTTTTCGATGCCCAATTCTGGACTTTGTGACTGCGAGTTGTACATTGCAAATCCATCACAGTACTGTCTCATTTCGCTCCTGCCCTGACTGAGCCTCTCTCTTATCTGAGCTCGAGTAATGAATGAGGCTTTGGAAATCTTTGATGCTTCACTAGGAATTGAAGCACACTTGCAGTGCTCTGAAGACGTACCCTAGTTCTTCTTGAATGTGACACCATGTCTGCAGACAACGTGACTGCAAGCAAGCATGGCTTATCTAATGATGGAACGGACACTGACAAACGTAAACTCTGGCTCATCGGTCTGATGAACCGCATGCAGCTACAGAGCGACCATGGTCTTCAGCCCTGTGACTTTTCCCCTCGGTTACACATTTTTCGTACTCGTTTCATCACTCCCCCTCAGCAGACGAAAGTGGAACTAACTTCAGAAGACGCATCGAAGTCGTGGACTCGGTCAAAATTCTTCGTAGTATGCCACTGAACATGCTCTCTAATGGCACTCAGGTCACCTTGTCCCTTCGGGGACATCCGATTTTTTACCTGTTCTCAATATCTCTCATTACAGTGGCTATTCCACTGAAAAGAGTGTTCTTAGCTTACCTCCATGACTCCATGCCTTGGTTCTTAATCTCCTATTCGCGTGAACTCAGAGTACAATGCATCGAAAACTGCTCTACTAGGTACGAGTCCATTGGAATGAGCCCTCGGAGTCCAAGTTTATCGACTGAGTTAATGTCCGGATATGTCTAGCATCACGGGCTAAATTTGTTATGGTAGCCTTTCCTAGGTTAAAAGTGTTCAGTGAGCCTACTTTCGATTCTCTATCACGCTACTCATGCATCACTCTTCATGTTACACTGACGCATCTTCTTCCCCTTGACTAAGATTCACAAACCTGTTGCTCTAAACGTCGTGAGGGAGTCTTACACTTAAAAGGTGCAGCAGATGAGAGAGTTAGCTCCCAATCCCGATACAACGTCATCCTTGGATACACCACCTATTAATTGGCATTATCAATAACCCAAAACTGTCGTTAGATCCGAGAAAGAATAATCATTCCTATCGGTTGTTGTTCTGCACATTGATATACCAAACACACAACTTTGGATGGGTAGAAAGATGAGATATGAATGGAAAATTTATAGCGCAGCGTGAATATATAAATATATATATTCAGAATTCTAGCGTTGTCTGTAACGCAAGAATACGAACAAGGAGTTTCTCACGCCTCATGTGCCTAGCGCCGCAAGATGTTACACAAAATGACACCACTCATCTGATTATTGCATGATGCCTTTCTCAGTACTTACACAAGTCACATTCTGGCATGTTTTGGAAATGTTGAGCGTGTTACAACCATCTCAACCTGAACACACATCAAATTTTGTAGAATGTCGTAATATAGGATGATCCATGTGCACTAGTGATGACAAGGGAATATCAAATGCCGTAATGTCCAGGCTCAGGAGTAATATAATTGGATGCAGGAAAGAGTATCATCTTATATTAAACTTCCAATATAAACTTGTACAATTTGCAATATATAATAACGGAGAAAACCTTCTTCTTCGAGAGAATTTATGGTGAATGTATTTGCAGTGCTATCTCCGTTGGGGCACAATATTGGATGTGGTAAACACTCTCACACTCACTAAAAGTCTATGTTGAAAGGTCACCACTAGCAGAGATGAAACTCGTGGAGCAGCCGAAATCTACGTAATATTATGAAGATAATTATACACGGATGTCGAATATACGAACATTTCTAGATAGTGTTGATGGGCAATGTTCACCCTGTCTCTACTGCTGATGATTCCCAGAACAGTAAAAAAAGCCCTGAGTAGAAATGGATGGAGTAGTACCAAATAGATGATATTCACAAATCCTAACCTTAAGACTTGGCCCTGCCCGCCCTGTATGCTACACAAAGGATTTTCGAGTGTGTTTGGAGACTCCATCCAGCTCCTAACAACCGCGAAACTGCACCCATGATTATGATCATCATCAATTTAATATTGCATCTACTCGAGAAAGTCGCTTGTCTTATCGCACAGTCTTTGGCAGAGAATATTGAACGACATGCCCGAAGCCTCGACTTGATTTATTTAATGAATCTTTTAGTAGACTTTGAAAATGTTTGTGATGTTGAAAACTTCAATTTATTCAGCGGAATCATTTTTGGCGATCTGAGGAACATTGTCATCCACATTCTAGTCTCGAGCTCGTGAATATAAAATTTCCAGGGTCAAGCGGTCAGGTTCGTCCCTACGACAGCCAGAGCTCAGTGCGAGCAACATCCGTGCCATAATTTGAACCATAAGTCGTTAAAACGACAACGACAAAGAGAGCTAAATATTTCAGGCTTAAAGCTTAAAGACGAGACTCGCAATTTGTATATAGGTTGGGATAATATGTTGCAACGATCGTTCATAAAATTCCGAGCAACTATAGATCCATACAGATGACAGGTCAGGGACCATGTCGTGGGTGCCATGCCATGCCAACTTGTTCAGTTCAACGCCACGTGAAATCTGTCTGTAACTCTCAATCGAAGTATCAATACAATATGATCACTCACTGCTTCTCTAATGCTGGATCGAATTCACCTCCAAAAAACCACACCGTACAGTCCGAACAAAGGTAAGCTGTACTCGAAAGCTCCAAGTCCATATCCAGGGATTCCAGGACTGAGCCCCGATAATAAACAGGGCAGACTATCAGGACAAACTCTAGCAAGCTTAAGCGAAATCTCCTCCAACATTCGTTCCCAACCAATTGCATGCAGGGCAATGCAAGCACTCATGGCGTCGGTGGCTGAGCGCTGGAGGCGCAATCATCTTTCATGACGAAGAGAGAGGCAGTGGCGTCGTCCTTGGGCAGCCACTGGTGGAGCTCCCACAGCTTCTCCTGGCGACCGCCGAGAGGAGTGGTGACGGAGAAGCCGACAGTCTCGACGTACCAGTCGGCGAAGAAGCCACCGTTGTCAGTCGACAGCAGCATCTTGCAGATGTTCTCCACACACGGCCCGAATTCCTCGAACACATCCATGTGCCCTTTCTCGAAGTTGTTCTTGCCATTGTCCAAATTGTCGAAGTACACCTCGTCGTTCTTCTTGTTCATGAGCCGGAGGCTGATGGTTGCATCCGTCCCTGCTCCCCACTTCTTCCCCGTTTCAGTCGTTATCGTATACACGCACGTCTGCAACGCCAAATTTCAGGTCCAGTTCAGACAAATTCAGCTTTCTATGCCCAACTTCACGCTGGCAGGGCTTCATTTCGTTTCACAAAACACAAGTCCAGAAGATTTTGACTCCAGTCCAGCACAGCAAGAAGCCTGTTCAGTCCGCAGACCTCGAGAATAAATGGTTGGATTCAGTGATAAGTGAGTATCAGATTCATAGATGTCAGTTACTTACCCCTTGGTCCGCAGCCTGTGAATGCATCTGCACTTTGGTTGAGAAGTCCGATGCTGTGAGCTCTAAGTCCACTCGCTTTGTATGCTGCGCTTCAACACGGCCAACGAATCACGTGCCGTGGCTTCTTCACAAGAAGCATGCATGACGAGAGAGCTAGAACAGAACTAGTCCTTTCGACAGTCTTTCTACTGATGACGAGAAAGTGATATGGCAGTGCAGCAGGAGAGCCTTACGGAAGCGAGTCTAAGAGTGGCTTCTTACAGTTAGTTCAGCTCGGCTTCGTTGGCTCTGTAGGTCCATTGTGTGAGCCAAAGTTTCAGCATCGGATGTAGAGTGCCCTTCTTCCGTCTTCATGCGCCGTGACTGCTGCAGCTGCTGGTGAAAAACCAAGGGAAATGAGTTCCATCATTCTTTCTTACGATGCAAAAGTATGGCTTCTGGACATCCTTCTATTGATTCATACATGCTCATCTATCGAACGGAGGAATCGGAAGCACAGTCAGTGCGGATGGTAGACCCATCCGACCCGTCTTCATGATCAAAGCACTCGCACTCACGTCTTTTGACTGCATCTTGAGCAAGTCCATCGCTCCGGTTGCCGTATGCAGCTGCTCCGAGTCGGAAGCTCTTGAAAGAGTGGACATGTCTGCACTAGTGCGCTTTGAAACCTACATTAAAGTATTTACGAGCATTATAGTCATGAATTCACATCAGAGGTATTAGCCATAGCTGGATCCAAAACGAGAAACCAGACCTCGTGATTGATTTTTCCGATATCCGTCTGTTCACCCTCCTTTGGATACTACTACTTCTGCTACCACCACTGCATGGCATGGTCTGTGGACATTGACAAAGGTGATATGTGCCAAAATGTCCCCTTTCCAGATTCCTTCTTAAATCTAGGTGCATATTGTCCAGGCCCACACCATTTAGTCCACGATTTGAACAGTGTCTGAGATACTGGAGTGAGACCCACCTTTGATGGTTGGAGGCTGTGATCATGAGAGTGGATCCTTGTTTTTTCTGCAGCTTCAAGGTGATGTAGAAAAGAGCTCATGTGTTTGTTATCAGAGGTTTGCACCTGCACATCAATGCGCCTGTGGAGCTTATTATTACTACTGCCAGTGATACCCACACGGCCTCCTGCTGCTGCTGCTGCTGCATCTGCTGCTTCATGTGACAGCAACATCAGCAAGATGCACCCGAGGAACAAATTTGCCAGCCGCCGTTGCTCGGGGCAGAAGCCCATGGCTGGATCAGACCAGCCGCTCGTGCAGCACTTGGAAGCCATGAGTCGAGCTCGAGTTGCAGACCGATGGAGGGGACGGAGTCCTGCGACCACTGACATGGTTGACATAGAGGAGTTGTCTCGGTCTACAATATATAGAGATATCTGCCTACGCGGTTGAAGTTTTACGTGGTAGATGTAGAGGTCGAGGTCGACCACATCCATCTGCGGACTTACGTACGGCGCAGTGCAGTGAGGTCCGGGACACGTGGAGATCGGAGAGATTCGGACGAGCACGTTACGATTCTGCCGCTGCTGCGGATTGTTTTGCGTAACCGATCGTCGATCTCGCGGTTAGCTCCGTTGCTGCGGGGAGCGGCTCTCGGTCGGAAACGCACGGAGAATGCCGGAAACCCCGACTCATCGTCATCATGGATGGACAGACGGACGGACGGATCCGGCGGAGCCCGTGACCGAAACTGGTGCTGCGGATTCGAGCGTTTCGAGGAGGAGCGTGGACGGCGCCCCCAACGTCTTTCCCGTTGCGTTGCATCGCACCGGACGTTCTTCCCCGAAGGAGCGCGGGAACCTGGCGCCGGCAGCTCCAACAGAACGAACTCGCGCATCGGATTGTATCCTCATCGCGAGGAGGACGGCCGCTACGATACGATCAGATACGATTGCCGGGTTGCAGAAAATTCACATTCCACTCATTCACAATATCGCATCGCCCCTCCTGCTTCGTCGACGGATCCAATTTCGCGCTTCGTTTGATCAGGTGTCTCTCTGTGAACATGAAATGCCTCAATCATTAGATCGTTTTCCAGGCAGATTTGGCCCGGACGAAATCGACCACTATCTCATCAAAATCAAATGGCTGTTATGTCAGACTCCCCTTCCTTGTTCTTTATTGCTTTTAAACATTTAGAGCGTAGTTGAAGTTTATTCATTCATATTGCCTTTGAACGTTTGATATCTCTATTTTTGTTCTAATGAATCGAATTTAGATGCTATGGTTTATTGACTTTACCTCTCTGAGATTTGCACTTCAGGTGTAGAGCGTGAGTTAGGCTTTAGTTAGACCTTAATGAAACAAGAGTTGGGAATACTACAACAAGACGAAGTGGTAGTGATCTGTTTATATTTATCCTGTCAATCAAGGTTTACTTTCCGTAGGATTCTATGTCGATTCGACCACCAGTTACTAGTATAGCGTCACGTGTATTCGAGTTTGAAATGTGGGTTATTGACTATGCAAGAATCATGTATGTGTAGGTTTCGAGGTTCATACTCAAATAACAAAAATATGAACATCTATGCTTCTCAAGAAAATTAGACAAATCATAATATGTGAAGTCTCAGTAGAATAATGACTTATAGCTTTCTTATTTTAACATTCCGGCGTGGATTGGATGCTGAAAGTGCATAATATATCTGCACTTTATGTTTTAAAATTAGACTGACATTGTTTGAGAAGAGGATCATCTTCTTGTTCGACAATTTCCACTTTCTCAATTGGTTTTCTCAACGAAAGCTGTTTTTCTTTGAATGTTTATGCAGTCTTTCACTGCTATGAAAATTGGCCATGATAATCCACAACTTACATAATCAGGCATCTTCCTTCAAAAACTGCACGTGCTGACAGCAATATGAAAGCACCATATTCCTTCTTGTATATATAATTATATATATGGAATCCACCGAACCGAACATGAACACTGATGGCAATCTCATGCCCGAAGGCGTATATTGATAAATGGCTGGCGTTTGACATATATACACTTTTAGTAGTTTTGCAGCTTCGGAGACTCGTTAGATGTTTTATCTACATGAATGATCGAGAGATAGCATCTTATGAAAGGAGAGAGTACAGGGAAAGAATCAAGCTTAGTCGACATCGATCTAAAATAAATAGAATCTAATAACATTATAAACGCAAGGGCTGAGAGCTGCTGCGGGTCCGGTCTTGAGGGAGTATCAGAAGTCGAATACAAGTTGAATCCACCGCGCGCACGCCCGCAGCTGCAGAGATTTGATCCAAACAATCCGAATATCTCAACTCCTGTCGAGATATTATATAAACATCACACAATTAGTAACCCCCAACTGTAATCTCAAAATATGTTGCAGCTGAGAGCTACTTAGTCTACGAGATGCTTTGATATGGACGCCTCTCGATCCTCGCATGTTGAGGAAGAGTCTGAGGGATTGGATCGGCTGGCTTGGGCAAAGACTGACGTATCAAGCGATGAAAACAGACATCGGAGACTTACCACATCGCCTGTAGTCGGTCGCCACCAGTTCCGATCTCCAGTACAATCATGTTATTGCCATATTCGTCGTCTTCCAGATCAGAGAAATGAAAATGGTCGTAGTCAGGTGAGAATGGTAGCTGTGTTATTCTTGAGAAATCGATGGTGTCGTAATCCTCTGGGTCTCCTTCACATGTTCCAGTATCAGCTGGAAGATGTGATGGACTTGTACATAGCTCTGAAGCTACAACCTCCGCCTGTACATCTGATGCTCCAGCTGCAGCTGCAGCTGCGGCGCCAGCCTGCCTGGACGAGCCTCGGCCTCCCTCTGTCGGATTTGATGACGCCGCTGCTGTGGCTGTCGCTGTCGCTGGGTGTGTCTGCATCTGCTGTTGCTGATCTACTTCGTCTGCCTCAATCTTTTCTCTTCCATCTCCTATTCGAGATCCTGCTTGGCCTCTCCCCTTCACATTCTCAGAATTTGTTGACGTACTATGTAAGTCGCTATGGATTTTTTCCTCGAAGCCATGAATTGCATGATGCATCAGCTCCCCTGTCTGTACATTTTGTGCCTGGACCTGTAGCTGACGACTCGCAGGTGGCCTAAACTTCTTTATTCCTGCTCCTCCATACCTTCCCGAGCCCGCTACTGCTGCTCCTGCTGCTCCTGTTATATCTTCATGTTTATTCGACCCAGGAGGAAAGCTCAAGGCAAGTTCTTCTGAACCTCCATAATCTATGGCAGAAACCTGATCACTATGCGATCGCTTGGAGTTCTGTCCTGCACAGGCTGATCCGGATCCATGCCTGGACGAAGCGCCTCCAGGTCCATGATGATTACGATGATGAGCTCCGGATGGAGAAGGTGTCACGGTGAGGGACGATATCGATGGACATGGGCTCAGCTCGTGGAACGTCAGGGACGCTATGGCGGGCAAGCGGCTCTGGCCGACGATGCTGGTGCTGGCGGCAGTCTTGGTGGACTTGGACAAGCGAATGATTTCCAGGCCCGCGGTGCCCCAGAAGGAGCTCAGATTTGAGCCGACCGAGGACCAGGACGAGGACTCGAGACTAGCAGCAGCAGCACCGGCACCGACGAGGCCCAGCCTGCCAGTGGATCGGGAGCCACCGACGACGGAGTTGCTGCTGGATTCCAGCACCAGCTGATCGTGATGGTGATGGGGCTTGCATTTGCCTACTGGACCAGCAGAGGCGATGTACAAGCACACGTCCCGTGTTCGTTTGATGAGATACGCAGCCCCGAGGAAGATCCCCAAGGTCAGAATGGTCCACACGAGGTCGACCAGCAGAACCGAAGCCTGCTCGGTGTCCGCAGCAGGTCTCTGCTGCTGCTGCTGCTGCTGGCCGCTCCACGAGGGAGCCTGCCCGATCTCCATCGAAGATCGGGACCCCAGCAGTTCGGACGTACGACCGACTGCTCAAGACCTGTGAAGGCAGGCCTTGAGCAGAACATGTCTGATGTGGATTTCTTAAGCATTTAGCCCTCCCTCGGCCCCTCTCCCCCTGAGTCAGCTCTCAAATGCTCGCAGCAGGCAGGGTCATGGAAATGCTGCTGCTGCTGGTGCTGGTGCTTGTGCTTGTGCTTGATGGATTCGATTCATTCATCATTCACTCGCGTATTCATGTCGGTCGAGCATGACCTGATCCGCCCGACTGGGTCAACGGGGCGGCGATCCCTCGAAGTGCACTCGACGTCACGTTTTATCGACGTACGAAGTTGTAAACTGTAATCTCACGCTCGAATCCTCATTCTCATTCCGATTATCCATCGGATCAGCCGCTAGCGCTTGTCGAATCACGTTCCGAGGTCGCTTCTATAAACTATGGGCTCGATTATTATGACGCCTCTCGTCGACAACGAACGTGGGCAGCGATTCCGGAGGTGGATCGAATCCCGATGACTGCGCAAGCCATGCCATGCCATGCCATGCCGTTGACATATGACCACACTGTTCAGAGGCTCAAGTAGAAGAGATCGGCCATACGATTTTGTATTGAAAACTCGCTTGCAATTTACGCCACATTGCATCTCATGATCACACGAGAACAATCAGCTTTTTGCTGCTGCTGCTGCTGCTGCTCTAAATCTTATCTTACTATGGAAACTCGCACTGTATGGACTGATCGAGGCCATGGAAGCCAAATCAGAGTGCTGGAAGGGGGCGGGCGGGGGGGAAATGGATTAAATATTTAAGAGCCCGGGAGAAGGAGGGATTGCACTACTTGGGGCAGTCGTCGACGGTGAGGAAGAGCTCGGCGGCCTCGTCGTCGCGGGGCAGCCAGGAGTGCACGTCCCAGGTGCGCTTCTCGGAGCCGCGCGAGGTGACGACCGAGACCGCGACGGTGTCGACGAACCAGTCGCCGAAGTCCCAGGAGTCGTCCGTGTACAGCGTCATCTTGCACAGGTCGCTGACGCACGTGCCCATCATGTCGAATTTGTCCGTGTGCCCTCGCTCGAAGTGCCTCTTGCCGTTGTCCAGCTCCGAGAAGAACACGCTCTCGCCGCCCTTGTTCTCCATCCTCAGGCTGATCACGCTGCTCGTCCCCGCCCCGATCTTCTTCCCCGTCACCGTCGTCACCGTGTACGCACACAACTGCGCCCCCACCCCCTTCTGTCAGTCAGTCAATCACTCCTCTCCATGTCCAACTCTCCAATTCAGACAGCACTTGCCATTACGTGCTCACTTCTCTACTCGCTCACGGTTATGCTTATGCTATGTTATGCTCACGCTCACGGTTACTATTTCGCGTAGTGTATCCATAATCGGGAAGACAGTGAATTTAAGGTTGTATTTTCCAGGACGAGCCCACACTTTTTACCACTCTTGGCTTTGGTTGGATTTAATCTTCAGAAAGTGATGGTACTAGTCTGAGCTAGTCTGGAATTTTGCAAACACGGTCGATGGTTTTGGTCGGCTCCTGCAATTACCTTTTATTGCTCTGACCGAAAAATAAAAGATTTCGGTGTTTTCCATCATTCGTCCTACAGTGTAAGAATCTTCTAATATGCATGTATGACTGGTGTTATTAGACTCGTCCATCCTGTGAAAAATGTTAATGTTTTCGAAGCGAATGAAATTGACTTGGAACTGCCTGCCGTGTTCTCGAGGCAGCTTCCAACTTCTGATCTTCTATGATGATGATGATGATTATGATGACCGATCTTCCTGTGAGACATCATTTTTTTTTGCCTCTGAAATACATTCATAACTGGAGAGAAGAGGTGTCGAGCTCGTACATATATACACATAAAGACTTTAAAACCGAAGAGGAAAGTCCGTCGTCTACGTAGTCCCAGTGTAGGATGACAATCAGTACAAACTACGAGATGAAATCAGAATGCACCACACGAACAAAAACGAAAAGAAGAAGAAGAAAGTGGTCCTTACGAGGACGAACGAACGAGAGAAGAAAATGGTGCACGGCAGGCAGGCAGGCAGGCAGTCTGAGAGATGTATGACGTACCGGTAGGTTGAGATCGGGTTTGAGGCTTGCGGCGTCGGGCAAGCGAGTCGAGACATCTCCCGCTGCGAGAGCAGAGGCAGAAGAAGAAGAAGAAGAAGAAAGCAGAAGCGACGCGAGGCCCAGGAGAATTGCAGACCACATCGCCGATCTCCGAGTCCGAGGGCTCATCATTTTGGTTTGGCCTTGAGGAGGCCTCGAGAGAAGCAGTGGACTCGAGCTACGATCGATCGATTGGTTGATGGATTGATTGATTGATTGAGAACGCTGTCGCGGTTCACTTTCTTATAAGACTGTGATCGACGATTGCGTGCCACTTGCAGGAAGTCCATGTCTCTGGACTCGTGCTCGGTGCATGAACATCAATGTAACTGTATACGATGGGCTCGCTCGCTGGCTCTGGTTCGTTCGGGTACGTAAGTTTGCGCCGCTGCGCTCGACTAACGGATTTGCTGATCACGCTGAGAGCAGCATGGCCGCCTTTCCGGGCTGATCAGCGGCTGCAGGTCCCTCGCCTCCTCTTCTCAACCGTCGTTCCAACAAATTTACGCTGGCCATGGCCATGGGCTGCGAGCGAGCTCGAAGCCGCCGCTCGCACCATCGACCAGCGCAAGTTGCCATCGATCACTTTTGCATCGTGATTTCAATTTCGATTCGAGGATATGATTTAACATAAGTCTTTTTAGAAATGAAATTTGATTTTCAGTTGGAAATTTATATTCCAAAGCGGAAGAGATAGAGGTTATAGCTCATATAGTTCATTTTAATGGTTGTGGAAAATATAACTTTTTTCTTTGAAGATGGAATGATTATCATGTTTTTCGTTAAGATTTCATTGCTAAAATATGATTGACATCATATTGAAAGGAAATCCACGTATAAATTGTATCATGTTTATATTAATATTAAGCCAACATTTGAAATAAACTGGGAAAAAAAATGTAGATCATGATTAGAGAAAAATACAACAGTATTGACTCGTTTGAATCCCAAACATAAATTTGTATTATATGATCATAATATTTGAAAACATAACTAATTTGGATACATGCATGTGCATAATATTGAAAACTGATACATTTATATTAAGCAAGATTGCCAGTGGGGAGGCCTCACGCTCCTTGTTTTAACCATGAAAGTCAAAGGTTCTGGACTTAATAATATAAAATATAAAAAATTTAGACATAAGGAGCATGTATATTGCGCATGTTTCAATCTTTCGGAGAGGAAATTTGTACTAAATTTCAAAATAACATCCATCACTGAATTGGTTATTTCTGCAGTTCTTTCTCGTGACCAACCTGCTACTACAGAGACAGGTGCATATCTTTGCAAACAACGATAGGCAAAAGTTAATTAGTAATTTTTATCTGCTCATTCGTAATATTCTACAGTAATCAGGGCTACACAATTTTAATGTCTTCACCATTCTCTGATCCGGGACGATTCTCTGAGAAATAATAAGCTTTTCTTTTTTTCTTTGCCCCTTGTAAATCAGAGAACTCGATGTCATGTAACGTACCACGCACAAGGACTGCAGAAATCAGACAAATGTATGTGCATTATTGTATAATCCACCAATATATTCAGTCTGGCAGCGAGATTATGAGTATTGGATATTAGTTGTGTCCATGTGAGGAGTGTTGTTGGCACTGAGGTGATATACTTTCTTCTTCGCGGTTTCTTCTCATAATTTGAACGTGAGAGTTTCAATTGCTTTCTTAGCTGGACACCCCAACTTTCACTGGACCTCCCTCTTCGGCTGCATCTTGCGAGAAGATCAGATGCGCATTGCTCAGTTTGGATTTCAAATCTGCCATGAATTTTCTGTTTGAGCTAAGAACGAATTTGTAGGAGCCGCATGCACAAAACAGGAACAACCAGATGATGGAAAGCTTGGAAAGCTGTCGAGGCACTCTGGGGATTCCATGAAACTTTCCCCTCAAGTGTCAATCCATTCAAGCATCCGCTCATCGTCTGATGGCCAAACTCGTCTTTGGAAGCCGATGCCTTTTTGCTCGTCAACGGTGGTTCGATCCACAAGGGTTTTATTTATTATCTTCATCTCAGCTGCAATCTGAGATTGTTTCTTTGTTGACGAAAATATGTTACAGATTACGAGAGTGCTTTGTGAACAAACCAGTCGAAGTCAAGGCTAACACACAGTCTGGCAGTTTACTTTTTCGGCAAGAATGCCAAGTGCGACGACTACATGACTACAGAACGAAGGAATAAGGTCGTCTATTCGAGTCCACCTGAATGGAATTTACAATGATGAAACCCCCTGACGCTCTCACCCCTTGGGCTAGCGTGCACCGGCTTTTTAACTTCTCCCTCAGTCGTATGATGTCCATGTATCTCAGCAACACAACGAAAGCGAAGGAATAAACGATGGGCAATTCAGAGCTGTGGTTTCTCCAAGACAGAGAGTCTTCTTCGTGACCACCGTTTGTGGATCAAAGATCAACGGATTGTCGTGGATTTATGAAAGCTGCACCAGAAATCTTCCAGATTCATGAGGCATGGACTGGTAATTCTGGGGCGAACGTGTTGACGAGCAGTGTAGACAGAAGTTGGAGAGGAGAGGAGGACCGAATGAAGGGTAGCATAGTTAGCAGTCATCTTTGATGAGGAAACGTGGAGAAGTTGCGTCGTCCTCCTTGGGAAGCCACTGATGGAGCTGCCAAGTTTTCTGACTTTCATTGCCGCGAATCACGAGGGAAATGCTGACAGTTTCGACGAACCAGCTCGGAAAAAATCCAGTGTAGTCAGTGTACAGAATGAGCTTGCAGAAGCGAGTCAGGCAAGTGCCTTGAAGGCTGAAGGTGTCAATGCTTCCCTTCTCAAAGTCGTTGTTTCCATTGTCCAAAGCTGGGAAGTACACTTCCTTGCCTTCTTTATCCATTATTCGCAGACTGATGGCTGAATCAGTGCCCGCTCCCGTTTTCTTTCCTGTTTCCGTCACTATAGTGTATATACATAGCTACATACCGAACCGCCCAACCACGAACACAACACGCCATGGCCACATACACACACCCACAACCCGAATTCAGTTGAACAATATCCAGTCATCGAGCCATCCGACATCGTACTTTTCGTTTCATCATCTTCTGCTGAATGAGGATCAGTTCTCAGCACATGAAGAATTTTTGCGTTCTGTAAGGGCGATCCACTAAGAAAAGCTTGAAATTGAGAACAACAAGTGCAGTGTCTGAGCTCTCATCTGGGTGTGACTGCATCATCAGACACTTTGATGGCTGACGCAAGTCAAGTTTTCACGTTCCATTCGATTAACCGATATCTGTGCTTGGATTTGACGTGTTTTCAAGTTGATACATAAACTCTACCGTGAGTTTCAATTATAAAATGAATATGACACCACCTCTGTAGTTTGTAACTCTGGAACAAACTTGAGCAACTGTCAACAAACTCTACTGTCGCAGTGTAGAAGAGGCCAAAATCAGGAGGAATCTACTGGACACTAAAATTCTTCATTGGAATGTCTGCAATCGCAGTACATGCTACCTGGTACTAAACTGACCTGGTGGGATGTGGAGAAGCAGAGAAAGGTGGATAGAAGGTGTGCAAAGCAACGACTCCACAGAACGTGCACTTTGCGTCACATGAGAAGAGCTTGAGAGCGCAGCGCTCAGATGCACTGAGAAAAGCGGCAACTCGGAAAACTGATGCAGTTCAATCCTCTGAATATTGTCTGAGCATGGACTAGCTGGGCAGAGGAAAATTCCCTACCTCATATGATGTGGCTACCACTGGCGCCTCGTCCTCCTCGAGTCTACCGCTGCTAGGCTCCAGGGCTTGGCAGTCATGAGTTAGCATCAACAACGTGACCAGCAATAGTGCAAATTTGGCCACCGCCATCATCACCACAGTAGTGCTACTAGAGTGGACGATTGACACTGTTGAGATGTGCCGTGTGGTCCAATGTTCTGGTCTTGGGACTGACCGCCTTCAGCTGCTGATGCTGCTGCTGGATTTGTAGATAGTTGCTTCGGCTGCCGTTCCACCCGCAACTCGGGGAACAAGGAAATTATCAACCTCCTTCCTGCTTTTCTTGCGTCTGTTGTGGTTTTGTAACAGACAGTAGTTCGAGCTTGTGAGCAGTCGCAAGCAAATCATGTGAGAACGTCACGCTCTCACCCACCCTTAGATTTCGTGTTGACCTTAAAAGGCTAGCAAGAGTGGAATGACTGGATTGGACAGTGCCATCATATCAACCTTGATCGATTTCACAGCCGCCATGATCATCCATCTTAATCAAGGTCTGCAGGATGGTGGTATGCACGTGTTGTCCTGTGTAGGCTAGTGGATTGAAACCAGCTCTGCAGGTACCTAAGCACAGCACATTGGTCCGTGAAGCAGGTGTCTCATGCGTGGAGTACTTCACTCATTGGCTTACCTTCCACTGTACCGTGAACCAAATTCTCACACAGGACAAGTATGCTGTACACGAAACATTGATGATTTCCAAATGATTTAGATCTTCGATGAGATGACTCTTGATAGTCCGGAGTCCACTTCATCAACTATTCGTCGTCCCTAGTATTGCATGTATACAGACAATGCCTGTAGCTAGCTTGCCAATAAGTCTGAAACAGTCACAGTAACAGAACAATACTTCCACATAGAGGTCAAATCTCACTGCTTCGCAAGAGTAACTCCTTGAACTTGTTCATTATTCCAATCTTGCTCTTGTGGTTTGGGGAGCTGAAACACATGCTATTCTTCCTCGGAGACATTTCGAAGTTATTCTGGTCGTCCGACAACAGCACACGCACAGCGGCCAAAAGCTTTGCTCGTTCCTAGAGTTGAGACTCTTGCCTAGAAAAAAGTCAGAAGATGGAAACTGCGGCGGCTACAATGGACAACAGCGACCATGACAACTCAACCCTGTGAAAGTTACTCGCTAAGAAGAACGTGTAACACGTGAGGTATTCAAGAAGAGGTGACCTTTAAGCTCTTAGCTCTGTACAAGATGACAAAAACTCCAATCGTATCGACGGATATCAATACTGGACGACCGGCTGACTGGACTGCGCCGAGGACTCCAGAAACCCCAGTATCACGATTTTTAGATGAGAGAGATCCTCCACAATTTGAGTAACCTTTGAGCCCTCAGCTCTGGACCTTATGACAACAATTCCACTTGTATCGACAGATGTCAATCCTGGTCTCTCTACCCTGGAATGATCTTAACGGAGACACGAAGCGCTCCACTGATAAGATCCAAAAGTATGCAATAAGACGAGTACGCTCTGCGGTAGACATGCTTCGTGGTTTGGATGCTGTTGAGAAAATGTCAACGGTAGTATGAAATTAGTTTAACTGCAAGTTCGAGGAGAGTCATGTACAACACCGACGAAACAATTGTGACTGAACTGGGTTCTCGTGCCCAACTGTTTCAAGGGGGATGGACGAACATGCTTCTGATCTCTAATACATTTACATCTTCTGTACAAAGAATGTTCTAAATAAACTCTATCTGTAATATCTCCCGTGGAGGTCACATGCTCCCTCGTTACAATTCAAAGCTCCCCATCTCAGATCAACCCGATTACATGGAAACTGCGCCTTGCCCAAACTGCACAGAAATCAATGCGTCAGATAATCCTAGATTCCAAATTTCTTACCATGGAAATTTTAACCAACAAAGAGCAGGCTAGCGCAGAACTTCCTTGAAGTAATGTATCAATCTACTCTCTCCTGTCATGTCACTTGTATGAAAAAGCTTCCATGACAGTGAGGACATCTTTACCTTCTGTTAACAACGTTGTGCACACGACACATCCATTGCCCAAGAGCTTCTCCTGATTTTGATTCCACAGGATTTGCTCTGCACAACAACATGAGAAAGATACAAAACCGTCAACAAGAAACTACTCGCTCTCGTATCAATCTTCGCATCCGAGAGAAACACATATTAAGAAAAAACGAAAGACCATAAGAATTTCTCACGGCTCTTCATAGTGATAAAGAACAAAGTCTTACGACCGTCAAGAAGGGCTTGACCAAGAAATTTAGCATATTACACCTAATCGGCTAAACAACGTCATAGCAACTATAGACTCAATGTGGCAAATCCACCTTGGGTCTAATTGAAGGACAGTCATCTACTTGGAAATTTACTCAATTTGCTCAATGTCCTACAACCACAATGGACTCAGTTATAGCGACTTCAGAAGAGATGCGAAAGAGCACCGTAGCACATCCTTGAAATGATCAGCACATTCTTTACAGGGGTAGATTCTTGATAAGATTCCCATCTGCACATGAAAACAGATTGCCACAGTTCTGAGATGATGGTCCGTGAAAACTTATAAGCTGGCTTGTAAGCTTGAGCTCTCCACAGACAAAACTAACGATGCACAGGATCATGAAAAACAAAAATACCGGCAACAATATATACCAGATCCTTAACATCGCGTTGCTGTTGTTTGGTTGGTTGGTCTGGAAACTGCAGAGAGTAAAGAGCAAAACAAATTCAAAGTTACGTTGAGCTTTAACTTCCTCGCAACGCTAAAAAGCAAATCAAGAAAATCCATCATGCTTAAACATTCAACTTCGCAGTTCGACAATGCAAAGACACAAGGTGATGTTCTTGGCCTGATTCACCAAAAGCATTGTACCTGCGCAGCAAGGGTATGAAGAAACGTCCAAGTAGCACGACCGAGATCTTCCCTGGATACAGCGGAGTTTACCTACAAAGGTACAAATGAAAGGAACGATATCTCAGAAACAAAACAAGTTCAATCATTAGCTCACGCTCCAGGCTTTGGTGCCAAGACAGAGGTCTTGGCACAGAAGGAGATGATGCATACTTTCGAATGTTCCTATCATATCTGAGGTAGAGCACGAAAAATTAGCCAAGTATGTTGAGGGCTGAGATGCTCAAACGGGACCGCGACCTTCGGAACGAGAAACGATAAACGGAAAATGACTTAGAAGACAAGATTCGAGATCTTCGGAACAACAGGACGTAGTTGAAACTCCTGGGTAGGTGTAATGTATGCATCAAATCAATGGACATCCTGTCACGTTATTAGGCTTTTGGTTTGGTGCTCTTCTAGTCTGGTGTATTGTAACGAACTCCGTAAACTCCGAGCTATTCTCAAAAGCAAAAACCTTTTCTGACAGACCGCCTGAAGGGTTGGCCACATCAGAGGCTCAACGATTCCATCAATTTGCAGAGGGCTTGACAGACGAGATGGTTGCTTTGGCATCGTCGTTGAAAGCGGCGAGTACAACCTTAACTCCTCCTCTGCTCAAGGCAAGTACAATCTACAAACCTTGTATTACATCAACAAGATTGTAATTAACTTTACTTCGCGGCCGGAAGTCAAGATTACGCAACACTCAAAAGCTCAATTGAGAAGGTTACCTCCGAAGACTCTGAAGAGTCAAGAGGCGATTCTTCCAAAGTGCTATGGTTCGAAGGAGACCATTCTGTCGACACGGATTCTGACGGCATCTGCTCAGCTACGGGAGAGTTCGAATTCGTGCCCTGCAGCCCAGATGTCTCTACGGCATCCCAGTCTACTACCCTTCTGCTCTTCACGGTCATCCGCTCGTGTTTAGACGCATTCGGCCCCGCAAAGGGCAGCCTAATCCTTGCAAGCAATCGCGGATGGAGCTGCCTATCTTCCCTGTTTCCTGAGTGACCAAATAATTTCTCGAAAAACAACGCAGGATTGTGCAATGCACCCATAATCCCGCTATCTATCCTACAAGAGGAACAAGCTATGGCATCCGCTCTAAAAGAACTGGACAGACTTGATGCCATGTGGTTCGAGAGATTCACAACAGTCCGCGTTATGTCGTCCATTCGTGCAGACACCAGTGACTGCAAAAGCTAACTCCGGCTTCAAAAACAAAGCTAACACCCCCGACGTTCTAGCAGACCTTCAGCTCTGCTACTCCCTCTCACACTCCCTCGATCGGCAAAGCCCAGAACGAGGATCTTCCATCCGCCCAGCTTAGAGGCAGAATTTGCAGCTGCACCGGATCGAAAATTAACCACTAGGCCTCGCAATGCCCCACCCAGCCACGCCAGGCCACAGCCATGAGCTCGAAATTGTTCCCAAGAAAAGAAAGCAGAGCAAGAATGCGACACCTGGAAAAGCGCAGGCTCTCGAGGCGGACAGGGCAAGTCTGGTTTGCCCACGGCGCAGCTCCGACTGAAGTGAGCAGCAAGCAACAATTGGACGAATGGAGCGCCGTCTCTGTTTCATTCGGCTGGGCTCTGTTGCCTCGCCTCGCCTCGCCTTGGCCTGCCCTGCCTTGCCACGACACCCGACCAATCACGACATAAATGCTCTCGCCGCCATTATTAGGTTCGTCGTCTTCTGCTGTGACCTCTTGCGGCAGCAGCGAGGCAACCGGAGCACCAAAAGCGAGCAATTCGATGCGGGGCCGCTTCTGCACCTGATCCGACTTCCGAGTGACGCCAGCGCTGGCTGGCTTCCGTGCTCCTGCGCGAGGCTCGTTCGTTTCTGTACGACCGCCGCCGAGATGTGATCACCTCACTCGTTGGTGTGTTCTTCAGCCACACCTCCGACTGATCTCGGAAGATTGGCTCGAGACGAGTCGCGTGAAACCTCGTCGCTGTCGGGCCGGGCTGCATGAAGAGCGCTGGTGCCGGTGATCGCGGTGGTGGCCGTCGTTGGCCTGGAGCTGCTGCTCGTCGGTGCAATCCGTGAGCTCCGAGGCAGTGCGGCTGAGGAGTTTTTGATCGGAGCGAGAGCAGGAAGATCTGGCGAGCTCTGTTTGCAAGGCGATTGTGGGATCCCTAATGGGGTACGTGGACTCGCAGCAGGGAGCGCATGCGCGCACGGCCTTTCGGAACGCCGAGAAGCAGTACAAGAGATACAAAGAAGCCTCGACGCGGTTGCGCTCGTCTCGGTCGCGGAACAAAATCCAGCCCACCGACGTTTCGCAGGTGCTGGACTTCAGCAGATATGTCGATCTCGTCCGGGACTCGAGCACGAAGATTGACGGCGTGTCGCTCGCGCCCGAATCTCTATCAGGAAAACCAGTATTCGTTCTCGACGCACATCCGGGCTTTCATTTCATCCCCCAGGCACTCTCCGCGGAAGAGCAACATTATTGGATTCTGGAGTCTCTCACCTCTTTTCCACAACCCCCAAACCGCACAAATCACAATGCAGAATACGGGCCCATTCGAGACCTCTGGTCTGCGGTGACAGCGAACTCCGTCCTGGTTCAGGTGGCCTCGGACGAAGACTTGTCAGCGAGCGAGAGAGAATTTGTAGAATCTGTCCAACTGCGAGAAGAGTCGAATGTGCAGCAAAGTGTGGCACGGGAGGACGAAGAAGAGGAGAGCAATCAGCGGCAGGGACGAGGAGAGTTAAGCACCAGCGCGAGAGGAGAGGATTTCGGCGCTAGGGATGGGCTCACGACGACAGCTCGAGTAACAAACGAGAAGGCCCCAGAGGCCGTCAGTCGCTGGCGCTTTGAGAGCAACCCTACCTCTGACGGAAAGCCCGTCGATGCGGAATCGCTTCTACGAAGATTGCGATGGGCGACGATTGGGATGCAATTTGACTGGTCCAAGAAGGCGTACAATACCTCCATTCCTTATGAGAAGCTACCGCAGAAGCTGTCGGAATTGGCAGCGAGGCTGGCCGCACCGGCCATGGGGGGCAGTGAATTCAAAGCAGAGGCAGCGATTGTGAATTATTATGGACCCGACGACATGCTCGGAGGCCATGTGGACGACATGGAGGCCGATTGGAGCAAACCCATCGTGAGCATCAGCTTGGGATGCAAGGCCATTTTTTTGCTCGGAGGTGAAAGCAGGGACCAAACTCCGACTGCAATGTTTCTTCGTAGCGGCGACGTCGTCCTCATGTCTGGAGCCGCCAGGACTTGCTTCCATGGCGTGCCTCGGATCTTCACCGAGGATGACAATTCCGACTTGCCTGATACTGCTTCGCTCGAGCAAGATCCTGCCGGACCTCTGTGCACGTACATTCGCAAATCACGGATCAACATCAACATCCGACAAGTTTATTAGCCTGGGATTCGACATGTGGACATTTCTCTCTCCTCGAGTCGTGTGGTCACCTCCAATTATATAGCCATCCTGCGGGCTAAACTCTTCCACTGTCTCCCAGTTCTCATCAATCACATGAATTTGCAGATTCCTGACTGGTTGGATAAGCCTCCCATCTCAGATGCCATCTTTCTAACGCTGTTGGCAGTCTCGGTGAGCTCTCTGCGAGCAGTGCTTTGTACTAGGCCTTTGACTGTTGCTTCTGAAGCCTAGCAATTCAAGCCTGCTGTGCTTGCCTCGTACCTTGATCTGTTCAATGGTAGCATCCGTGGGTTGGCTGTCTCCGACTTGGGAGTGCGAGAGTTCATAGCAGACATCTCTCTGTTTCAGTGCTCAGCTTCTCGTAGGAAGGGTATGGTTGGTCGAGTCCATTGATCCGAAAGGGCTTTCCATTGTTCGCCGAGCCAATAATCGTATGAGCACAGTACGGCCACAGCAGTCACGGCAGAACACACCTTTCCAGGTGGGCGTGAGTCTTCAAAGGGCTCGAAACATTCTGGACTTGAAGTCCTTCTCGCGAGCAGCTCCCGATGAGAAGCACAGAGAGATGATGACGGGTTGTTCGGTTGAGCTCGGGCGTAAGGCCAGTCTGTTCAAGACTTTGATGATTGAGTGTATCAAGAGGATCATCATCATCGACATCATCTTTAGTCAAGGGCTAGATACGGTTCATCCCCTACTGTGGACTACTGTGGCTGTTCGATGGAGCCTTCGCTTTGACAGAACTCTGCGCGGTCAGTTGCAATCAAAGCTGTGAGTTTTAGTTTAGAGTGTTGCAAATGCCCAACTTTAGTCGGCCAGGACCGTGTCACTGCATCATCTTAATATTCAACGAAGCAAGTGAGGTACCCTTGAGATGATATATGTAGGCAATCCATTCTCAGCCAAGAACCGGCCCTCAATTTGATCAAAAGGATGTTGCCTAAAAGAAGCTGACATGTATCGAACAAGATTTTTGCAAGTCGTTGAGGTGATTTCATGATATTACAATAGCTATTACCTTCGCTCTCGACATGCTCTGATTCCGGTTTCTTCCAGGACAGAAAAAAATATGTCCGGTAGTAACAACAAAACTCCTTGCCTCGTGAAAAATCATCTTTCATACTGTAAAGGCTTTACACCCTTCGCTAACACTATATAGCCAGGTTTTGGAATCGTCGTCTCAGCACCCTGTCTTGCGACGATTGGCTTTCTAGACAACTTACGGGCTCAGAAGGACTCTCATCTACTTAACATTCGTATCTTCTCGGAGCTATCAAAATTTGACCATGAAGCCCTCGATGGCACAACTGCAGACCCATGGCACTTGCTAAGCTTGGAGAAGGAACACATGGAAACCTGTTCCTTCCCGTCTTCAGCAGAAACTTAAACATCAACGATACCAAGCTGTGCACTCTCTTCTCCACGGTCCGCTCGGAATAGAACGCTCTACTCCTGTGCACAAGCTGTGACCTATGTCTTCGAAGTTGGAATGACCAATTTGTCTTCAGGTTCTAAGAAATCTCTCGCCCCAGCAACAATGAAGGGCTGCATCAACTTCCACAGCCAGAAAGCAGACTTTCCTGTAACAAGAAGACTTTGCTTGTCCCCCGACTGTCTCCTCTCACATTCGATTGTCTTGGTCTTCAATGCGTCCAACACCAGCGTCAGTTCCTTACTGCTGTAAGCAGAAGCATTGAAAATAATGCCTCCGGTCTGAGCACACCTCTTACCACCGTACATGTACCAATAGGCCAGAGTCTGATTGCTGAGCCAGCGATGTATCAGTCTAGGGATTTTTGGTTTCCCATCAGGCCTGTACTGGTGAGCAAAAAATCTGAACGATCCATGACTGACCGTCCTGAACGCGAGGACCTTCCTGGTCTCAGAAGGTCGTTTAGGATCCTCGGACAGCCGTTCTTTGGGACCTTCCACAGACCAGTCGGCGAATAGCTGGTATAAGTGCTTGAGCAGCAGTGCACCGACTTGATCATCAGGATCCAGCTCAAAATGCAGCTCGTAGGTTCTGTTCTTATCGTGACTTTCAACCCTCGCTCCACCCAGGAGCACGCCGGCCAGCACTTCACGTTGATTCTTGTAGAGCTTGAGCTTGGAGTTTTTCAGAGCTGTGATCTCTCTAGGACTGAGAGCATCCTTCAGAATGTCAGCTGCTGGTCCCTTGGGGACGCCCATCTTATGAGCAGCCATCTCCTTGTAGTCTGCATTCAGTTTCGCCGAGGCTCCCAGCTTCCCGTATGCCTTGATCAAAAGTTCGTAGGTCTTGGGATTGGCAGCGATCCTCTTTTCCTTTTTCACCACTTCATAGAGCGCCTCTGCCTTTTCTACGAGGCCGTGTGTCACGTAAGCCTCGAGAAGAGCATTGTAGGAAGCAATCTTGGGATAATGGCGTTTGCTCGGCATTTCATGGAAAACTTTTTCCAGCTTTTCCAACTGTCCGAGCTCTGAGTACATACGAATCAGGGCATTGTAGCAACCCTGCATGGACTCTAAGCCCCTTGCCTCCGCTTCTTCCACAAGTTGCTCTGCCTGCTCTCTGTTTCCAGCAGCGGCAGAGACTTCGATCATTGCTTCGTAGACATTGATGTTTATACTAATCCCACTATGCTTGATCTCCTGAAACATCTCGAAGGCTTTGTCGGGCAGACCTGATTTGCCATACAGCTTGATCAGGGCAGCATAGACCGATGGAATAGGCTTCACCCACACCTTCTTCAGCTCACTGAAAGATTCTTCGGCCTTGGCAAGATCTACGTCTTTGACGCAGGCTCTGATGACATTGGCAGTATATATTGATTCACCGATGTTTATCCCCAAGTCCTTCATCTCTTTCGTGAGGGATTCCACTCGGCTTTGGTTGCCGCTATTTCCATGCAGCAAAACCAGGTGTTGGTACATCTCTTCAGTTGGCACCAGACCAGCTGCGCGGATGCCGTCAAAAACCTCATCTGCCTCTTCGATAAGCGTAAGATTCTTTTGAGCGAGGGCCTTGAACAATTTAAAGCGAAGACTGGCAGGAGGCTCATGTCCACCCAGCTGCATCATTTGATTGTACAGATACAAACCTTTCAGGATAGTGTCGGTGGTACCTTCCTCCAGATAGCAGTTGATAAGCAAAACATAGGTGGAGAGCTCAGGCACGTGTCCATTCTGGATCATCAGATCATATATGTCTCTCGTCCTGCTTAACTTTTTGTTTTCCCCGAGAGCATTCGCCACTTGAGTATTGAGTTCAAAATTGAACTCATAAAAAGGCTGCTGCATTTCCCATTTCAAAACCTGCGCCAGACGACAGGTACGTGGTTAGCCGATTAAGAAACTTCCCCGGACCATTCGGTACAAAACAGAATCTTCTGTTTTAGTATGATTTGCTGTTGCCCAATTTCCCAGAATCTCCTTTCAGCTGAATGTTTTGATTCATGATGTAATCAAAATCAGGCAATTCACAACAAATTTGAACGTACGCAGAGCTAAGCAGGGACTGCTTAATCGAAACGAAACAAAACTCCTGAATTTTGAGTTGAAAAGTTAGCACAGGTCATACTCTGTGGGCACGCAGAAATTGATCCATCTTCAACAGGTGCTCGACGATGTACTTGACGTCTTCGCCTTTGATCCACGGGCGCTGCTCGTTCAGAATAGTGACAACACCACGAGGTTTCAGACCGACAAGCTCCCTACACAACCACTCCAACTTCTTACGCCTCCACTCATCGCCCTGTGGGACATGCCCCAGTCCTTCATCATCCATGAAAGTAACATGAGGAGATTTATTCACCTTTCCCCGATTCCATCCTGCCAGCTGCTGCTTCTTTCTTACTGCATACTGCCACTTTTTCTCTCCTTCCTGGCGACGCGGGAACCCTGGAGAGCGAGGACGCACCTCATCGTCCAGGAGCTGGAGACTGGAATCCCTACCTTCCAATTCCTCGTCAGAGTCAGAGAATTCGCGATCTTGTCTGGATTTCCATGAATCCCTGTGTCCAGAGCGTGGCGTCGTCACTTCCTCCTCGGCACCATCTTCACCAAAAATTCTACTGGACAAACTCGGACCATCGAGTCTGCGAAACTCGCCGATCTCGGGCCCATCTCGTTTCAACCGATACCCGTAATGCGGTCGTTCCCTTGACGACCTGTCAAATGCCGCACCATCATCACGACCACGGACCTGATCCGGACGAATTTTCGCCGACGTTGCTCGGGCGCCACCAAGCCTCCGAGTGCCGCCATCAAGGCTTCCGTCCTCCTCGCGAGATTGCCGCTGCTGCGCCTGCTGCTGGTCCTGCTCTCTCGGCTCCTCACGCTCGGAAATTGCAGATCGCTGCAGCAGATTGTCGCCGCCCCGAGCCCTCGACGGATCTCGAAACCTGCGTCGTCCGGGCTCGTCTTCTTCGTCCCTGAAGGGCACATTCGCTCGGGCTCTCGGAATGCCGGCGGCGGGAGGAACCCGCTGCTTTTCGAAATTCGACCGAGGCCTTGCGGCGCCTAAAGCCCTGGAAAACCTCCCGCCGCTGCTCCGCTGCGCGTGCTCATCGCCGGCGCCCTCCCTCGGCTCTGCGCCGCTTCCGGATTCCGCACTCGCTGGAGAATGCGAAGCGAGGGCTCGCAGAAATAATCTCTGCGCAGCGACGGAGCTGGAGCTGGAGCTTCGACAACATAACCACATTTTTTGACCTCCGTCTCTCGATCCACGATTGAGCACTGTCTCCGCTAAAATTTCTCACTTGGCCCCGTACCTTCATTCATTGTTGGAATTCGAGGCGACCTTAGGACATGCGTTCGCATTTTTCCCTACCGATTTGTGTGCTTTCTCGTACACTACTAAGCGATGGACCTTCTCCCATCCTTCGTTTCAAAGAATCCTTTAAAATTGAGACTTCGGCGCAGCCATTGTTTCAATTCTTCGCAATTGTCCAATACTTCGAGCAAGAGCCCGCCACGGAAGGTGTACTCGAGAGACTGGAATCAGCTCGCTCGGAGCCCGAAAACACCACCAGGAGTCCACTGTCGTTCTCTGTTTACTGAAATGGCCAGCTTTGTGCGACCATCTGCACGATTCGTGGCCCATTAGGATGTGCCTCCTACAGAGCTTGTCTTCGGCCTCCATCGAAGCTCGTTCGAAAGAATCGACATAAAATTCGCCAACAGACGCTTGGTTGATGTCAAGTGTTGGAATCGGTGGACGCTAAGGGCAGATGCAAGTCGAGGAATCTGTCATATTTGATGTTACGGGGCAGCGAGGGCTTGTATAATGCAAGCAAGAACATAATCTTCTTATGACGGTGATACATGTGTAAAATTCTTATATCGTTGTTTGGTTCCCTTTATTTTAGTATCGTTCGAGGGTACATCTACCTCATTCGCTCTTGTACTCTTTCACTTGCGTTCACATTTGTTATATTCGCACCAATTACTTTCGACTGTGTTGGCATAATTATATACATCTGATCCAAAATCAGCGTGGAGTGTGATTTAGAATAGACATGACAAGTATAATTTATCTTTAAACCGGATATATTTCCACAGGAGTAATATATTACATCTCGAGTATTTTTGGTTAGACATGCATTTTTTTACATCCAGAGTTAAACCTCCCCATGGTGACACATAACGTTCTAGGGTTTTATGTCACTATTCGGAAGAGGATATCTAATAATGTGTCACTCACAAGAGGATATCTAATAATTTTTGCGCATTATTTGCCTTCGGTAGGCGCTTCTTTCTCTCTCGTTGCAATCTGTAACAGTGCGTTCGGTGTGTGGTTCTTTCTCTCTCGCTGCAATATGTCACAGTTGTTATGCATTTGCATTAGGTGGCCGTTTTTTCTCTCGTTTTTTCTTGTTCGGTGGAAGTTTTTTTTCTCTTAATCTGCACCCGTCTTCAAAACGCAAGCGTTTGGACATGAAGATGAAGTTGGAAGTTTTGGATTTTCTAAATCAGCCTGGAGCCACCCATGAAAAAGCCGCATCGGCATTTTCAGTGGCACCTTCAACTGCTTTGAAAATCTGGAAAGAGAGAAATTATCAAACATGTGTCATTAGAATCAAATCAAGATGGGTTGAAGAGATTTCTACATGGACACAAGTGCAACTTCTTAAAGAAACGATGCAACAATGACTTGTTCGTGTTGAGATCGATTCACTCACGCTCAAAGTGATGGGTGAAATGCTCAAGAAGAAGGCTCTGTTTTATCAAGACAAAATTTTGCTTGATTTTGTAGTTAGTTTCACATCTTCAAATACAATTTCTTTACAAACATTTGTTGCGTCGAATGGATGGCTGGAGAAGTATTTGAAGCACATTTCAACGTCGGGTAAGGGGAGGTGCGGAGAACAGAACAATATTAGTGTTATGGAAGTGGAGAAACATCTGCAACAAATTCGTGATATGTTATATGATGTACCACTCGAATGCATCATTAACATTGACGAGTCGGCTTTACAACATCACACGATATCATCAAGATCATACTGCATAGTCAATTTAGATGATCGTGGAGTGGAGCGAAGTAAAGAACAAATTACAATGACGATTGGAGTTAGTGCTTCAGGTGAAAAGTTTATCACGCAGTTGATCACAAAGAGTGCTCGTCCACGTGCTTTGAAAGACATTCCTCACGTAAGTAAGGTGTTTGAAATTATTTATGATCATCAAGCTAAACCTTGGCAGTATACATTTTCCAACATGTGTTTGCTTCACAATTACAACAAAATTGTCAAAGACCGCAACTGCATCTTCTACATACTTCAAGACAACTGTTACTCTCACGTTTGTCCATCTAAGATTTTAGATCCATCGGGAAGAACAAAATCTTTTTTCAGATTTGAAAACCTGTGTATCGTTTTTTATCCTCCGAGTGCTATTAGCGAATGTCAACATACTGATCAAGGTATCATTCGATCTTTCAAAGCTCATTCTTGTCGTGCTCAACTGAATCATTAAATGTCTGAGTATGAGATGTGGCAGGCGAGTGAACGAGCATCTTACTCTCAGTTCAACGATCATACCCATCTACGAAATGTACTTGGTTGGGTCTAATGTGAATCGGATGATATAGAGTAAAATACTATTTGAAGGTGTTTTGCTAAAGCCAACTGTCTACCTCTTCTATCTAAAGTAATTTCAAATCAAGATATAGATAGATACAGTACCAGCTCAAATCAGGCCGTGGATGATTTGATGAAAACTCTTGAAGAAATTTGACTCAATGATTCTTTTTTAACGTCCTTAGGTCTTGATGACTCAAGTATAGAAGTTATTGACCTCGATGTTGTTCATGCTACTGGCGATGATTATGTTGTTGGTGTTAGCATTGTCAAATCAGCTTTAGAGCAACAAGATCTCGTGCACAGTGATAGTACTTCAAATGATGATGATTTTGGTGAGATTCCAACTTTGGTGACAGTCAAGGAGCCAAATCAAACGATCACTAACTCGATTAATTTTTTTTCTATCGAATCATTTTTATTGACAAAATTATAGAATAAGTTGCTTTACAACCTCCAAAGAGCTCGTCGTTCTTAGATACATCAACTAAACATTGAGAAATTTAGACGGTTGAGACAATCAACAATCAGATTGTAAATTGTATTTTTATGATTCAATATATCTATTTTCTCTTTTTTTGAGTTTAGCACACGATGGATGTGGAGTCAGGTTCAGAAAGTTTTACGCATATCTAAATTTTTCTCTCTTAAGTTTAACACATGGTATTAGTCGTGTGCGTTGATTGCTAGATGCTTGTGAGGAAGATTTCTAGGATAGAAAATCATAGATTCATCGAGAAGATCTACACTCAACTGTCGTAATCACCGTAGGCTTCCGCAAATGGCCAAAATTTGTTGGAATTGGCTATTGTGCCAACCAATTCTATGTCGAGTTTTTCACCCAGCTTTCCTACGGTTAAGCGTATCCCCAATGCACAATTTATTGTGGATGGATTTTTTGTATTTCAGATCTAGATTGAGTATCATTGATCAATTTTTGTATATTGTTTGCAAGTTCGTCAGCAGTGCTGGCTTCCATATCTGTACCTTGCTTGCTAACTATTAAGTCAACTGAAACTCCATGGAACTTTTTGTACATCATAGTCCAGAATATCGAGATGTTAACATTTTGACTCGAAATACTAATGAGAAGAATGTCTCAGAAAACATTGCTCATGATTATGGAAGTTTAATTCTATACTTGAGATTTTGTCAATGGATATTCCCTTTTTGTGTTTTCATTGGTCTGATTAATAATGAAGTACTAGATTGTCACCCCGTAATTCCATGTCCGAATTACGGGGTGACAAGGGCTCAGCAATAAGTACATAAAACATCAAGTCTACGTCGAGCGCAAGATTGATAGCCTTCACAAAATTTAACAGTGCAGCTCCCCTAAATAAATGTGTTTGATTGGCATAAAACATAGAAAGCAAGTCAATTCTTGAAATTTTTAGGAGCCACGGGCCTCCGACTATTCCTTGTTGTCATGACCAGGGCAATAAGAAGTTGTATGAAGTTGCAAGTTCTTGTTTTCGGTCATAATGATGCATTCACTCAATAAATTCTTCTGAAAAGAAAAGTACCAGAGTTTCATCTCAGGAAGATAGTTCAATAAGGTGCAACAAAATTGTCAAACTTACTTCAGTGAAGGTTGGGTTTTGGCCTCGATGTAACAATGAATGCAGACGTGCACGCTGAGTTACCTGAAAGAGTGGACTACAGAGATACCCTGAAGTTCTCCGTTTTGACTATATACATTTGTTGATCGAGTCTTTCAAGTATAGCTCAGATGGAGTTAAGCCTATGTCGGATGAAATTCAAGATCAAACGAGGTTTGCAGAAAGCATGAATGTGTCTAAGTCGACCGATGTGACGTCGCAAAAGTGGCAACTAACTGTGATGCCTTGCGCAGGTCCACTTGAGGTTGAGAGAGCTTGCCCAAAGCCACAACTTTCCACACGATCGGAAGATGTTTCTCATAGAGGTGGCCAAGAACCCGTACAAAGTACCATCTCGTATATCGTCTTCTACATCTAGTAAGGGTATCGTAAGACGCTTCTTCTTCCTTCAGCTATTTGAATGTCATATCAAAATCTTTGTCTATGTCACTTTCCTCTTTGCCCACATCATTTGATCAGTAACACGGATTCAAGGACTGAGAAGATTGTAAGCACTTAAAAGGAGCGTTCATTTCAGCCGAGAATTGAATTCTTAAATGTAGGGATAGATCAATCAGCAAGCTTTGAACGTAGACTTTTAACTATGAACAAAGACTTTTGGCAATTATGATAGCTATCAAAGCTCAACATAGTAACTATTGAAAAATCTAATGACACAATTAGAAATAGTGACGTACTGTTATCATTGGATAGAATTATCCATTAGAAACTAATGGTTCTTCATTTTCATGTCACTGATGGGAGGATGTCACTCACACGAGGTGACACTATTAGGAGGTTTAACTCTGTATTTGTTTTCTTAATTTTTGGTGGTTGCTGATAGAAAAAACTCCATATTAATACACGTGTACAAAGGATCAATTTTAATTTTATTTTGATAACATACAAATTTTTAGTACTATATTATATGTTGTGAGAAGTTTCACAATTTGCAATGACTATCAACATTGTCCAACCGTCTCTGCGCTCTATGGCACTACTATCCTACTATGACACGCATCCTAGTCTTGAAACTATAATGACAGTTGTGGATATATATCTTTTTACTATAAAAAGCATGTTCATATTTTGAATATGTAGGTTTTCTTTACTTATCATTACATTTGTTTGAAAATTTTCAATTTTCATGCCTTATCGTGATAATCATGAATGATTCGACGCTTCAAAACATGTAGTAGAATAAATTATGATGAAATGAAAATTGTTAGTACAAGACCATGATAATTCACATTAAGGACACATTTGAATCTGTTGATTTAACTCGAATTGAGGTTTAGAATCTACATTCGTATGTCTTGCAATCTACTTTTGTATTAGGTTGTAAAGTGCCATACAACATTAAATTTTACTCTCTTAAAATTATTTAACAATAACATTGACACGCAATCTTTCTACATATAGAACTTGCTTGTGCATCTACATAGTAGAAAGTACGTTATTTTCTATTCTAATTTTCATAAATTGTTTTAGTTATTTTGATTTTAAAGTTGGAAATCATATTGAAATTTAGACATTAGATGATCATTCTCAATTCAATCATAGTAATCATCATCATTTATCATCATTTCAAAACATCTATCTAAAATGACTTCAT